GCGCGTGCTCTTAACAACAAGGTTGCCAGTTCGACTCCTGCATAGGATGGTGGGTTGTGCCCCCGCACAACTAGATTGAAAGTGGCAACTGGACCTCGAGGCTAGCTTGTGCCCTCCACAACTAAGATTGAAGGACAACTTGACTTGGAGCTGATGGGTCCTGGAAAAACACAATATTCCCCTTCCCCAATTCCCCAACACCTGTTCCCTTCCCCAATTCCCCAATAAAATCTTAAAAAAAATAAAAAAGTAAGAAGGGATGTTACTTCAATAATTAGGAAAAGTACTTAATCTAAATCAGATTATGTTTGAACTGAGTTTTTAATTACAAATAGCAGATAAGGAACAAACTATTTTAGGAGAAGGAACAATAACATACACTGGAAATATGAAAACATAGTAAACTTGGGGCTCTTTAAGCAGTGTCGTATGGGTACATAGTGCCAAAAGGTCAGGATAGTGATGTATGCAGAGGCCAAATACAAAATTTTGAACAGCAAAGCACTGCATGCTAAGGAGTTTGCTTAAAATACAGGATACAATTCATAAAAGTAACTGGATCAGATTTGCATTTTAAAACAATCACTCTGATAATAGGATGGAGAATACATTAAAGTGGGGCAAAATTGGAGGCAGATATCAGTTAATAAGCTACGATAACAGGCAAGACAATAGACGAGGGCCTTAATACAGCAGTGGGAAAAGTAGAACAAAAAATACTAGGTATTTAAATAACTGGTTCTAAGGTGTGAACACAAATGAATCAAAAGATCTGAATTTCACTAGGTTTGTTTTCCTACATTATGAAGACACATTTTGGCACTTGGATACATAATATTCAATTCTGTATGTACCAATTTGGCTTCTGCAAAAGACTGAGCTGAGCCTTTTGAGTGTGGGAAGCCTGTCTTTTGTATCTAACAGGAGTTAGGGAAACAAAGTTTGTTCAAACAATTATCAAACTGATGAGATGTGACATACTTGTTCTACCTTCTTTATGACTTTATACATCTTTTTACAAAGTATAGTTTGCATGAGAAATGCCTCTGTGATTCTTGTTAAAAAATGTAAATTTAGGATACTAGACTTATTGAATGGATATATCCAGAAGTACTGCCCAAGAACATGTATTTTATATAGGCTTCCAGGTAACTTTAATGTGCAACATTAAAGGTTTGGACCATTAAACAATTCTCTAATCCTAGGAGATCTTCCTAGGGACAATCTGCCATTCTAACATCTCTGTCCTTTTTTACCTTTGATTGGATATCAGGTAGTCTACTCACTATCAAATATAGTAAGGTTGAGTGAAAATAAATACATTCCTAGCCTCAGCGGTAAAATGTATGGATATAAAAAAAAAATCTGCTTTAGAGAAAACTTTTGTCACTCATTTCCCTATTGCCAAAGTTTTCAATGGCATGATAACTATTAAATTTGCAAAATAAGCAATGAACTTCAATTACATAAGGTGGATTGTCCGGAGTCAGCAACTGGACAATGGTTATTAGATTTGATTTAGATTTCACTTAGGAAAATTTGAATTGTTCCATACAGCTAATACATCAAGCAATATCAAAAGTTATGTGTTTTTTTTTTAACATTGGGGTGATTTGTAGTACAGCTATTGGGTTGTTGGAAAAGTCATGACGCATTTTTGCAATGAAAAACATAGAAAAATTATGTCATGACTTTTCCGACAACCCAACATAAGAAAAAAGAAAAGGGCCAGCCAAGTGACGCGTTGGTTAAGAGCTGGCTTGGCACACCAGCTCTGAGCAGCAGGATCCCGGTTCAGATCCCACATGAGGGCCAGTGATACTGCCCTCTACAGCTAAGATGCTGAACAACAGCTCGACCTGGAGCTGGGTTGCTGTGAGTTGCC